ACACTAATTGCTGTCAGTGTCAAAATAAGCCCTGACCCAAGTAATGTAGCAGTACCATAAAAAAGGGTCTTCAGATAAATACAAGTTACTGAGTGCTCCTGAGACATAAGAAAGCTAACAAACAGAGGCTGTGAAAGAAGACCAAGAGAAAGATTTGTGCCCATAAGAAATTGAAGGAGAAGTTTGGACGGGGGATGGAGGGAATATACTCTTTGAAGCGCAGCAATTATAATTTTGTTGCCCATAATTGTAGACATGGACATAAGAATATTTAATACCATAATAACAATTTTTAGCGGCAATCCATATTTACGAATAGGGCAGAACACGTCTAGACCTTTCGTCATGTAGTACCTATCAGGTGTTGAGTTTGCCATCCTTTTTTTCGTCAAGCTGATAGCGTTCAGTTTAGTTTTTAAAGTTCCGCCTAATAAGACGTAAGATTCTATTCTTATCCCTGCTTCACCACTTGAGTGTTTCTTGCCTCCATTTCATGAAGCCACCAATAACAATTCAAAGCCAGTAGTCACAAGACAGCCATACGTCCCGGATTGTTTTGTTTTAGGTGGATGTACAAGGATGTCTTGGGAAATATATCCACGTATGTGATGCTGTGGAGCTTCTTTGACTATTCGCTAGTAATAGAACTAGTCATTACCGTGTCTCCTTTACATAGTAAGCTGGTTTGCAAAATATCCTTGTTTTAGGAACGAAGTTGTCAAGTTTTTGATGTTCTCCGGTGATGCAAAATGAGAATGGGACAGTATTTTAGTGTTTCTGCGCTGACGATCCAGCTGACACGGTTCTGTTGCTGACGTCGACAAGGCGTCTCGACGTATTTCGATCTTATCTTAGTTTGTGGGTGGATTTAATTTTTATTTCATTTGCTTTCTTCAATTACTTTCCTCACTTATGAAATGTGGGGTTGTCACTTTGAAAGCGTATTCTGGTAATTGTGAAGTTTTGTAAATGCTTAGTTATGCAACTGAAAATGACTTTATTTAAATTTCTGACATTTCTCATCGGTAGATAAATAAAAGCGAATTACTTACTCTCATGGCACCTGTTCACTGTGATGTTTCAAACATCAACGCCAACTTATTTTTCTAATTTGGCCAGGTTGTATAATCTTTCTTTTATCTTCATAAAATGTATTTTGACTAGTCCTTTCAAATACCAGTCCCGGGATTAAACAATTGCTGTCCTCCTATGCATTTACAGGAACTTCGAAGAATATATGACACCAGAACCATTATTGCGGCTTAGATACCTACAGGAAGTGACTACGAGACGAGTACGCCTTGTTAGCTCTATAATAATTGCACCGATGCTCATCCACAACTAAATCCTGACCAATATCAGTGAGCATTTTTACAACTGTACTCCTCTGTGTTGCCTTTTCTACTTTCTGTTTCTGAAAATCTGCAAGAGACTTCGCCAGCATAGAAAAAAGCAGATACACGTGTCAGAGCAAGTTCCCTCAGGCAAGGCCTTCAACATTGCGTGACGCAAAAAGACAGTGACAGTATTAGAGAGGGTAATGAAGAATTAAACTGATAGCCTGTTATGTGCCACAAGCGATGATCCAGGCTGTATATGTTTTTCACAGAAGTTACTTTGCCATTTTTTACTTTCTCTGGGATTTGAAGATAGCAATCGGGTTTTCTTAAACTCAGCTGTGATTCCTTAAAATTTCCCTAACTGTTGAAAGTCAGTGAAGTAAGACCAGCGGTGAAAGGAAACAAAGAGAGTGTTGTTTCCCAGGAGCGAGATGAAGAACGTTTGTTAAATAGTGGAGTCACATGCCAAAGAGGAGACATTTTAAATTAAATGTAATCTTGGATTTTCGCCTTGGCCTTCTCAGATTAGATAGATAGATAGATAGATAGATAGATACAGGTGTTTTATGATAATACTTTACAGCCCTGTGGCTGAATTATGTATGACAAGAACTCAACATAAATGTATCTTATTAAAACTTAGCATAAAGGAGATTTCTAGCAAAATCAGATCTTAAAGGATATTAATAAAACTATTCTTATATTAATTTCTTTGTCTTACTGCGAAGGATGTTGGCGAAGTCCTACGTATATATTTTTATGTAATAAAAGGTTGAGGTGCTAACGCACAGAAAACGAGTTAGGTAAACGCTGCTTGAATCAACGAATGCTTTGTAAATGAACGTGGATGCAATCTCAGCGCTAATATAAGAAGCTAAATCAAACACAGTGTATCCCGAACTCGTCTTATGCATAGTTACTTCCTGCCCTGGTATCAAAGACCTAGTGGGAGAGAGAGAGAGAAGTCGGTCGGCACTTATTGTTGTTCAGAAGTGTCAAAATCAGCCTCCAAGTGATGTAGGAACCTCGAGGAATACGCAACGACCATGAGATACTTCCTCGAAAAGATTAAAGCGCAAACTCTACCTGGCTGACTTGCAGGAAAGTTTCATGCTAATTCCTAATGCACAGAATCGCAAATAGTGACTTTATGGTAGCTCGAAATAGCATTGTTATTACTACAGACTAATTCTTTGATGAACCATCAATTATTAACATAACAACACTAACACTTCTCAGAAACACCATTAATTTTAGCTTCGTGAGCCTGCTTCTCGAGAAAGAGTTCGATGATCCTGTCGTTTCCCTCCATGTTTTATAACTGAATTTTTATCAAATGAATAAAGGGGGTACGTTTCTAAAGAAACTGTGGTGCTGCGTCGGTGGGAGAGTATAGCAGGTAATTTAGTGTTATCAACTGAGTTGAAAACTAAAAAAAGCTGACGTTTCGAGCGTTAGCCCTTCGCCAATCGCTCTGACGAAGGGCTAACGCTCGAAACGTTAGCTTTTTTCATCCTTTACGGTGGCCAATTTACGTTTTCAACTCAGTTGTTAACAATAAATTACCTGAATTTTTATCAGCATACCAAGGTTCACCGTCGGGCGAAGTTTTGAAAAAAATTCCTTACCCTTCGGATGCAGAGCCAACTGACTTTTTCGGCTAACTTTTGAGCGGCTAACACTAATTATTCGACACTAGGTACTACTTTCTGATGAGAATAATCCGAATTTTAATCTGCATATTAGTCAAAATAGTCAAAGTCTTTATAGAGATAACTCGCCCATTAATTTTGATAAATTTATGCAAGCTCACTAAAAAACAGCTGATGAGGAAGTTCCAAGAACTTGGAATGATGCTGCACATAACAAAGTCTGTCATAGGTGACAGAAGTCCGAGTAAAACAAAGTCTTGTTTACTTGACATAATTCATTCGATAAGGACGCGACATTTCTTGGTAGAACATCTTTTGTTACATAATTTTCGCATAAATATGGAAGTGCAACTGACTGACAGGGAAAGCATACACAGTTCCGTAAGACTTGAGATCTGGTCTCAAGTCTTACGGAATAAAGCCAGAATAAGGAACATATGACACTACAGCATCATATTACGGTAACAAAAAACGGAAGCTTTATATTGAAGTCCTTTATTGAAGTGGAATAGGCTGTTAGTGTTAAAAAAAATTAATAAACAGAGACTAACATGTTTCATTCTAAATGAATGGAGCGTTTAAATAATTCGAAAAATTGGCTGGCAAGCTCGTGTCAAATTATTGACTCTGCATACTAGTAGTGAATCCGGTGGCAGTTTTGTTTGCAAACTTGCTATCTGCTACAGTGAATACTTAATTTTAAATGCATATTTGGCTTTCAGAGTCTTCTTGGCGATTGACACGCAGCTAATGTGTGTAGGCTGGTAAAAATGATAAGACGCATTATCACGAAAAGGTGAGTCTAAGGCAAAATATCTTTCTCGAAATTCAGTGGTGTGAAGATTAGGATCCTTAAAAGAAAGTATCGCTGAGGTATTAGAACGGAGAATCAATAATTTATGTATGTTAAGAAGTTTTGAGGAAAAACAACAAGAATTCAAAGAAACAAATTATTTTCACTATGGCGCCACTGCCTTAGCCATTCTGATACTTTACTATTATTTTTTACTCAAGTATATTAGTGATCTCCTGGCAAGCAAGTTACGTAGGTCGAACACTCGTTGGCGAACGTTTGATTGAAATACTACACTGCCGTTGTAAAATAGAATTGTCGTCACGTTATTTTCTCAAACCCAACCGTTGTTATCATAACATCTATCTGAGATAATTAGTTTTATGAATATTATGAAACCACATAGCACCAGTTGTAAAGCTATACGAAAACCGGTTAACTTAGAGGCAGTGGAGAAGTGGTTTTTGTAGAGTGTCTTTGGAGAATACATGATCGCCTCAATGATCTTTATTGGAACTTAAGACATGCGAAGTGGTTGCTCGTCTTGCAATTATCTCGTTAAATTTAGATAACCAGAGACGATTTGAATATTGGTTTCAGGTACATTTATGGAAACTCATAGTGGCCGGAACATTAGTATTTGGTGCTGAACCGAGCTTTGAAGTTATAATGGTGGCTCCCAAACTGAGACAAAATTGAATTCGAGTGGAAAGGCTTGTGTTAACACAGACAATAACAAATGAAGCGGTACTAAAGACCGTCACTGAGTTCGAAGGCGACAAAGAGGAATGGCTGTCAACTCAACTTCAAATGGAAACCAAACGAGTAATCAGGACATCTCCTGTGCGATTCGCCTTTATGGATTGCAACAAAAAACTTTCATCATTGCATTAATTATCATGATTTCTATCACTGCTTTTGCAGGTAACATTTTAATAGTTGTTGCGCTAAAAAGGGTGTATTCTCTTCATCCTCCGTCAAAACTTCTCTTTCGATGCCTTGCTAGTACTGATCTTGGAGTTGGCCTACTTGCAGGGCCGCTTTTTATTACCTATTTAATGTCTCAAGGGCACTTAAGGAAGTGCGAAAGTCTGAGAACCATTTTTTATTGCCTCGCAGCATTGCTCGGGGAAGTATCGATGCTAACATTGACATCAATAAGTGTAGACAGACTTTTAGCTCTGTTATTGGGGCTTCGATACCGACCAACGTCAAATGCAAATACATCGGCAAGAGCAAGTTCATCAAGACCAGGCTTTCAACTCTGCTCAATACAAAAAGATAGTTTCGGGATTAGTATGGGTTCAAATAACAGTGGTGGCTTGTTATGTACCACATGCAATAGTTCAAGCAGTATATGCTTTTAAAAAAGCAACCACGCCATTCTTAGACTTTATTTGGGATGTAACCATAGCAATGGTCCTCCTAAACTCGGCTGTGAATCCTTTTCTTTACTGCTGGAAAGTTAATGAGGTAACACAAGCGGTTAAGGAAACAATCAGAGCGTTTTTTTGTTAAGTCTTCGATAAAAGCTCTGGAATCTAGAGGAATCGGTGATTTCCCACCGAAAAGGAGTATTTTAATTTGAAATGAAAAGTAAACATGGGTTGCGTAGCTTTTAATAAAGCACCCTCTGTGATTGGTCGAAAAAGTTTGCATCACCTTCTCAACCAGTCAGGTGTCAAACATTTTCCCGTGCCTCAAGAAGTTTGCTTGTTTTTATTTCGAACTTTTATTGGGTGCTTGCAATAATTTCATAATCAAGCAGATGTTCTGTCATAAAGCCAAGGTGGGCTGATTAAAGACTCAATACTTCACTAGCTTTCTGTGTTTAAAACTCATTAAAACTTCGAATTTCATCCCATCAATACCGAACAAGAAAGGAAACCCGTTCAAACTACGACGTTTGAAAATATACCTCCTTAAAGGAGAGAAGTCGTTGTAAGCGGAAATGAGAATTGTTTTTACCAAGCTGTTGCTCTCTGAACGGTTGAAATAATGAAAAAAACACGAGGAAATCCCTTGTGTAACTGACAGTTTGTTTGAGAAAAATCCAAAGGTCTTTGAGCGGCAACTTTTCTTCTCGAACTCCTTGGAGGATTATGTCAGGAAAAGCAAGATCACGGAACTCCAGTAGAAACTATGGATATATCATCAGTTACACATCGCTCCCTAAGAGACCAATTTTTATCACTCATCGTCACAGAAGAAAGGGTTCAGTTTTAGCTGATTATCAACTCTGATTCGTTCTCATTGATCGCAAAAGAAAAACAGTGTTTTTTCACATAAATGTACTACCATAATATTTACTGCTATAGCACGCCATTTGTATCTAAAGCTGCTTCGAGGTAGCTTTAGTAGCGCTCTTTTGTATTAAACAACAACGAAAAAAGCTAGAAGTAGACTTAACACCCGCCCAAAAACTGAAAAGGCTTATTTGATTTATTTCTTGGCGATTTATAATTAGTTTTTTCTAAATTTCGAGACCATTGCGAGACAAGACGAATTAAGCGGTAAATTTTACCACATATTTCATGGTTTTTCAAAAAAAACTTACGATTTCCTTATATCAGCATTACCCAAACCATTATAATTACTGATAAAAGAGTGGCGAAAAAGCGATAATCTCTCCCTAAAATCGTTTTTTCAGTCGAACGTCGGAACAACCTTTCGCCACACATTTCGCCCCGTGGAGATTCCAGAAATCTGTGCGCAAACACGAGGATCCGATTACTAGCAACTCATTCATTTGTTTCGTATCCATGCATTATTTACTCTCCTAACAAACATAGCCACGCTACATGCTTGAATTTTTTAATGGCATGTATGGGCTCCACGCCAAAAGGCGTATGAGGGCCGTAGGCGATGGTGTGTGCAGTGCTGACAATAGTTCCACAGCCTCGTGAGACGTGAGCTAAACGATGAAAGAAATAAATAAAACATGCTTATTGAATGAGTTAGGTCGGACCCAACGAAAAAGTATTTGAATCTCGGTAATGACACATGGATCTCGCGATGCGTGGTCCTTACTTCATGACCTCGAGCCAAATATTTCCCTTCTGGCCCGACCTCTCTGTTAATAAGTGAATAGTATGGATGTATTTTGTAAAATGTCGTTTTCCGTTGATCTTTCAGGTTTGATAGATTTCTGCTTACATTTCGAGTATATAGTATATTTCTCTGTCATAGCGGAGTTGATTTCGAGTGCCTACAAATTCGCAAACTTCGTTTTCAATCCCTTTTTAACAATTCATTGAACTTTTGCTTTTGAAATAAACTGAATTTAGTTCATTTAACAAGAAACCACAACAAAACTTATGATTCGGCTTCCCTGGAAACCGGATCTTCGACAATACAAACAAAATGCGTTGCCGGATTTAGATTTACCGCAAACCACAATATTGTGCTCTGTTCACATTTATACTGCTTAAGGAAGTTTAAAACACCACAGCGAGACGACTCTCAAGGTTCCCTTTGCTGCGCTGTGTGGAAGGGTGAGTAAAACTTTCACAATGTGTGTCTTGAATAAATATTAAAAAGCTGACTTTTATAGCGTTAGTCTTACATCAGAAGGTAGTATTTAAAGAGAAGAGGGAAATCGTTTAATGACCTGTAACTGTCGTTTGGCGTACAGTAGAAAGTCTGATCTGTACAGCACTTGCAATCAAAAAGCTTGCTGACGTTTGTTATTCGATTATGCGCTGGAAAAATATAAGAAATTGGGGTTGTGTCCTGCTATTGAACTGGTATGTGCCTTATCTGCAATCCCTCACAAAAAATGATTGCTGATGATGTCAGCAAAAAGGGACGGAAACCTTTAGTTTAGAGTCAAAGTCTGTCTCGAATTCCTTACCAGAGTAACTGGGGAAACCAGAAAAGAAGTGAAAACACACCTGTATTACTTATAAAAGCAAAAAAAAGTTATATAACTATAGACTCTATAAACTAGAAAGCTTACAGCAACTACGGTTATTAATAGAATAGTGCGACAGGTTGATTTTCAGACTTTGTTTTCTACATACACTGAGACAGGGCGAATATCTTTGGGTGCAGAAGGTGTCGTACTAAAAGTCAGGAAAATTTGAGGAGAAGGATACATAATGATTTATGGAAATTGTCTCTCTTTTATAACTTAAAACTTTGTAACTGGCGCCTTCTGGGGTGTTTTCTAGTTTCTATTCATTGTGATTTTTTAAATTCAACATGTATATGAGGTCTTGGTTAAATGATGAAGAGGCTCTTAAATATATTGGTATAAATGTGTGGATTTCCTGTACGTGTATTCATATCTTTAATTTTGCAAACCAATCAAAAAACAGCATCATCCCCAAAACGATTCTCACCTGTAAATTAATAGAGGTTTATTGATCCGTGCAGCGTAAGTCAAACCCTTCGTACACTTGCATTATGGAGGGGCATGAAGTATTCCAAATCTTCAAAGTCGCCCACAGTTCAAACGCAAGAAACAAAGAAAATTGAGTTACAATTTCATTCTTTACACGCAGAAGGTAGATGAGTTTGTCTTTATAAATATTTCCTTCAGTCCAGCACGGTGAAAAATGAAAATGAGAATGAAATATTTTGAACACGTTTTATCGTTTCGTTTTACAATTTTTTCTTTTGCATGCCTTGCCGGTAAAAGCTAGAAATATTGGTTCCAGAGTAACGTATACAAATACTACAATACGTCATTAAGAGAATTTGCAGGAAAATTTGAGAGAATGTCTCGAATATTTATCCTTTCAATCATCTGTAAAATGTCAATAAATTTATTGTGATTACAAATAGATAGTGGATGTTTTGTATTGATTTCCACTTGCTCGTGGCTTGACGAGTCAATATACTAATGAGAAATCATTTTTCCTCGAGCTGAATCACTTAGTACTGATCGATACCATAAAAGAATTTTTCTCGTGCTTTATCTCCGAGTTTTCATCTTAGCTTATCATTGATTTTTTTCTAAGAGCATTACATTAATTTTTTTCTTTCGTCCCACGCTCGTGACAAGACGAAAAAAACATCTTTTTCTATTGCATTAATTCTATGAAGGGAAATGTCTGTTTCAGTGAGTAAAAAGTTTAAAATACTAGCTCTGCATGGAAAGTAACACGTTTAATTTTTTTCTTTCGTCCCACGCTCGTGACAAGACGAAAAAAACATTTTTTTCTATTGCATTAATTCTATGAAGGGAAATGTCTGTTTCAGTGAGTAAAAAGTTTAAAATACTAGCTCTGCATGGAAAGTAACACGTTTAATTTTACGATGTCTTTTTTGTCTACAAACACGATATTTAAAAACTGACTCCAGCATTACGAATACAAATTCAAACATAATTTGGCAAACTGTCATTTACCATTTCTTGAGAGTAATCATAAACCTACATCGCCGCCTTTCATGGGCTCGAAAATGTCCAAGTTCTGCAGTCTGTCATCGAAAGCTTTAATGAAAAGAAAGGCACTTTTTAGATCAAGATTTTAAACTCGCTCGACTTCCATTATTTTGTTTTTCATTGCTCATACCATCAGGAACTTATGATAAATATTGGTGGACCGCAAAAGAAAATAATGGGACATTATTTTCTCTCCTGGACTTAAATTATGGGAGGATCATTAGATATGTCATTCACAAATGGAAAAATACGAGAAAATGTCACGAAGATCAGTAGTCATAATCATACAAGTACAATACTGTCAAGTCTGTATTTATAATTAGTGAAAGTTCAAATAATGGTCTGTTGATGGACAGGGAGTACTTTTGTAAAAGATGTTTTTCAGGCTCTGTAACAATGAGGTTAGCATGCTGAATTCAAACCGAGACTTCTGTTAATATTCTGCAGGATTTTCTATTTGGGTAGCTGCATACAGTCTAACTCAACTCAGAAGCGATCAAGATTACTGAGTAGATCTTCAAGGTACGGTTTCTGATTGTGATCCCAAAATCGGAATCGACAGGTGAAAGTGCGTTGGTCATTTCAGTGTTTCCTTGGTTTTTAGATTTGCTATAAATCCTTCCTCTGTGGGACAAAAAGGTTTTTTTTAAAATCACCCAAGTTCATCCCCATTGAGAAAGGCAGGTGAGATCTAAAGTTAAGTCTACATTAATCTTAAAGCGTGGTTACTTTGAAATTAATAACCTTGTACCATTCCTAGTATAGATCTTAAAAAGTATGTACAACATAACTTAAACCAGGGTTTAAAGTGATTGGTGGAAAAGGTTTTTTATGGTCACCTGTCAGACAAGTTAAAATTTTATTGATCACGTATACATGTGCGAAGGATGGACCTCCGCTTTCGCGCTTGGCTATACCTATATATATGTAAATATTTGAATAATTGAAACGTGACTCATTCCCACGATGAATAGAAAGTTTTTTATTTTCATTCCAATTAAAAAAAGTTTCCTGTAGTAAGATTGTTCCATACCGAACTTAGCTATTTATGTTTTTACATGAAGAAACGCACAAAAAGTGACAAAGGAGATTTATAAAATTTTTTATAGTTATAATATTGATATTCATAAAATGCACGCAATAAATTTTTTGTGTGCAAAGTAAATAAAAATCTAAATTCTGTCGAAACTCGACTGACAAAGGAAGTACCTTTGACATCGAGTGAACAATAGAGAATCTTCATTGCATCTGACAGTGTCTCCTATAGCGTAAAATAAATTATAAAAAAAATAGAAAGAAAGAGGAAAGCTAAAAAGAAATCGATACAATAGAAGTATCTTTAGACCAGGATGCTGCAATAAATCGTGATAAAAAGAAAACAACAACATTAAAAACTACAGCAATGAGAGAGAGAGAGAGAGAGAGAGAGAGAGAGAGAGAGAGAGATCAGTTCAGTTTGTCGAGTTCTATACACCGTATTTCCTCTTTTCGTTACCTGGCTTCCTACTAAAAAATATGTTATGATTCTGCCCGTAATTAATAATTTTAGGCATTTCATAAATGAATTTTTTTAAGGAAAATAATTAACGTTGACAGGATTTCTTTGAATTGCCAATTTTGACCAAATAAAAAAGGTATTATTTTATTTTATTTGTATTCCATGATAGCAATCATCACTGAGTGGCTAAAGCAATCCGGCAATGTTCAGGTGTTTTCTGGTCCCTTTTTCGCTCTGTGATTGGTCTAGAAAACTAGCGCCACTTCCTCAACCAATCGGATTTAATTCTTTGCTTTGAGCCACCTTCATTAATTATGTTTTCCTTCATTAAAATAGGTTCATGTGGAACTGCTGCAAGATTCAGAATCATGGAAGGACAGACAGGCAATGACGATAAGACCAGACTAAAGGTCGATCTCAAATTGATAAGAGAAAAAAATCCACATATTTTTTAGGTCTAGCTTTCAAAAATGACGAGTTTAGAAGTGGCTGGAAACAACACGACAAGCTACAATTCGTTATGCGTCGAGCGTCTTTATGGATTTCATCTGAAAATATTGATCGCCACATTGAACATTCCATTATCAGTAACGGCCATTCTGGGTAACGTTCTAATTATTATCGCACTTCAGAATGTGTCCACGCCTCTACGTCCACCATCTAAACTTCTCTTCCGATACCTTGCAAGCACAGATCTGGCGGTAGGACTCGTTACACAGCCTTTAATAGTTGTCTTTTTGCTTGTGCCAGAGAAATCTGGCAGCTGCCTTTACCTTACCATCATAGGTAAGGCAACCAGTGTGTTGTTTGGTGGAGTATCGTTGTTAACACTAACTGCAATTAGCGTGGAAAGGCTGCTTGCTTTGCTACTGGGGATTCGGTACAGACAATTTCTTTCTTTAAGGCGAATAAAAGTCATGATTTTCATATTTTGGCTCATTGGTGCAGCAATTGCAGGAATGTTTATTTTCAGGCTCTTGATCGCTGCAGTCAGCGGTAGCATACTACTACTGTCATGCACAGCAACGTCAACTTTCTGTTACACGAAAATTTATCGTGTGCTACGCCATCATGGCAGACAAGTTAATGTTCAACAAGGGGCCACCGGAGCACCAGCTTCCCTAAACATTGCGCGATACAGAAAAACATTGTCCACTGCAATGTGGGTGCAAATGACATTCCTTGCCTGTTATCTCCCTTTCGGAATTGTCCAAGTCATAATTTCTGTCACTGCATTACGAGCACCATCCATTGACTTAGCTCGGGATCTTACAGGCACTATCGTGTTCTTAAACTCAACACTAAACCCGTTTCTTTACTGCTGGAAGATAAGCGCAGTAAGGCGAATAGTAAAGGACAAGATCAGACGGTGGTTTTGCTTTTAAGACTTGAGACAACGATAATCTGCAAGACACTGATTCTGAATAACACAGTGCTAAGTTTCTTCATAAGGATGCCACCCGTCTTGACATGTAGCAGTTGTTGGAAAATCTCGCCGAGGCAAATACTCAAGTATTACGGGAAATTTAATGTGTTGAGTATTACATTTTTCGAATTAAATTTGGAAATATGGGAATTGAGGGAGATTTAAAAAAATTACCTGGCCTTAAAATGTTAGAATATCCTCACAAAATTTTATTATTAAACCTTTATCGCAGAGCAGCTCTGAACTCTTCTTTACAACAAGTTTAGACTAAAAGAATTTTTATTGACAATTGTAGTATAATACGAGAAACATTGACCAAAAGGAAAAGTAGCTAAATCTGTTGATAAAGGACTAGAACAGCAATACGTAATAAAAAAATTAATAACTGACATTGAAATATGAACATGTATCTCGACAGCTGGTCAAAGGTTTGAGAAGAACATGTAACTTTACATGTAAACATTATATTTTGCCGTTTTCAAGTACATGGTCTGAAAAATAAATGCAGAGGGATTAATAGACAGATAAGTGTACTAATTAGCATCCATTTCATTTAAGTAAACGAATAACCACCTATTCGCTGGCCTCTAACTACCCATCAACAAGCTAAATTGTTCATACTAAATTGTTCAAGCGTATTTTGTCGGGTTATAACATGAAGAAAACCAGCAATATCTGCTCAAAACGTTGCAATCCATATCGGAAGTGGCTATAATGTCACGGCTAGAAACGACCATAGTTAATTACCCCTATGAAATGTCACATCCTTTTGTACAATTCCCAATCTACGACCTACTGATGAGGTATGGTTGGGGTTTTGGGCATGACAGTGGAACCCTTTACCCAGGATGGTAGATGGATCACCATCAAACAGCTAGGGAAACGTGATAACATGCTTAGAGGGAAAGGAGGGAGGGGGGGAGGGGTGGGGGAGCAACCTGGTATAGATTATAACCCCATTTACATGGGATTATCTATACAATTATTAAATGATCGCATTCAGATTTTGTCTGTATTTTACCTCTTAACACACCCTGCACGTGGAGGGACACTTATAGTGAGCGAAGGCAAGGAAGTCCTCATATTTTGCGTGGACAAGTTCATCGCATAGACTCTCCTCCGTAATACACTCGATAGGTTTTAAATCGTAGCAGAGGCCTGCGGGAAGATAACGAAGCCCCTTTATTTTAATGAAGTTTAATTACACGGGGTTAATAAGCTAAGGGGCAGTTAATGAAATATGACCGCACTATTACTAACACTGTGGGTTTCTTGAATCACGCGGTTGATCGATGGTAAGCCAACTTTAACATCCGTCAGCCAAGATTTGTCTCTTCACACTTGGGCCAATTGAACAAGGCTTAGACCGGGTGGATTAAATTTGGATAAACGGGGCGAGGCAGTGGAAATCTTAAATTGAACTTTGGCTTTCCAGACAGATTTCACGCTTGTATAATATAATATGGCGTTTAGTGTTCGCTGTAAACTAAATAATATACCAATCAGAAGAAATTACATTCAAAGATTACAGCTGTCCATTGAGCTACCGACCTCGACTTGACAGTGTGTTTATCAATTGCGTACTGTGACATACTTGCCTGTCGTAAGCTAATCCTCATAAGGCCATTCTGATGCCCGTCGAAGATAGATCAAGAAATTCTTATCTAAAAAAATTGTTTCATGGGAGAGTATGTATGAGCGTTGTGGGTCGATTAATTATTACTGACCGAGATTTCAAAATTAATGAGCCAGCGATTTCGTAGAGCTGTCGATGTTGATATATATGTTTCGCTCTCTTTCTCAGAGAATTGTGTGCCATTTCGGTTCAAACACCGGAAATGTTTGTCGTCTCAATTTCAACGCGTATCAAAACAAAAAATCTTAGAATATTTCTGAGATCGCATAATATGGTAAATCAAGATTTAAAATGAACGAATCGAGCATTTCTCTTTTATGGTCTTAAGGGAAGAAAAGTAGATCAGTTGCTAATGCCCTTTGGCTTGCAATTGTTTTGTGAATGAGACGGTCCATTGAATTGAGCGATAAGCCGGTTTGATGTTGGTTAGGAGAGTCAAAACAACAGTGCTTTGTTGCAGCTCAAACCTCCTTACAAGTGAAATTTTTATTCGGAACAACCATCAAACGGAAGAAAATCGGATTGAAACTTACTTCTCCTTTCTTCAAGCCAGCTTCTTTCGTATTCCTCTCGCTCTCGAGGAAACATTCTCATATACACCGGGCTAGCGTCCACTGAGAGATTTTGGACAGTTAGCATTCCCAGAGAAAAGATGAAAATCCACCAAGACTTCATTTCTACGTTAGGCTGGTTAGATTACTCTTCGGCAGCTGCGATCTGTTTTCTCTGAATAAAGACCTGGCGACACAGTGATCGGTGAAAACTTGAAGAGAAACTCCACCGTAGTCACGCCACTTTCCTAATTTATACACTTTGAGGTCAACTAGTGGTACATGGCGATAACTGATCGTATTTCCAGACAACACGTCAGAAAATTCGCATATCGTTTTTTCTGAGTTGTTGATTGGTTAGCAGCTGACGTAGATGCAAGTTGATATTAACAGATACACGACTAACGAGCAAAGATTAGAGGTTTGGTGGGGTCAGTTATAATTTAGACTACGTGTAAAATTGCATACACGTAACACGTCTAAGCGTAGTCATGATTTTGGTAAGGCGTAGTTCAGTTGTTTCTAATAAAAGCAAATAATTAAATGGATAAATTGAAAACATAATCGTGGGCTAGGCCTTCTCCGGGAAATCAAATCCGTTAAAGGACTGAAAGGGGTGATGAGTTATTGCTTTCTTGAAGGATTTTTTTCGCTGGTCATGAATTCTGGAGAAGTCCGACTAAGATTCTAAAAATGTTTGAAAGCGTAGGCCATGATAAGGTTTGGAGTAATCATAATTTAATAAGGACTTAGTTCAGTTGTTTCTATCTTTAGAAATAAATTCCTGACCTTCTCTGGGTAAAGAATTAGGAAGCTACTTAGCGGACTGAAAATAGCAGTTACTTACTTTTTCCTTCTACCCTTTTTCTGTCCACTGTTTTTTTCCCCCTTTTTTTTCAATTAGAAGATGTTTTGTATGAAAATCTTTCACAATTCTTCAGAGGAACAACGTCACAAAATTTTAATTCGTATCATGTACCGTGGAACTATCATCAAATTGGATTCAACAAAAAAAAAAATAAAACGACGAAAAACGTGATGAGGTAGAAAATATGAGACGATAGTAAGCTAAAAAATGACGAAAAGCATGAGGAGATAGAAAACATGAGATGGTAATAAACAATACAGGAACAAGGATGTTAAAGGATGATGATGCTCAAATCGTGGGCAGTTGGACAATAGTCGCGCCCTTCACAAAAGCCTTTAAGCAGTTTAGGGATTTCTGTGCTCGATTGGTTGACAGAGCGTAGTAAAGACTATGTAATTCTAAACGAGTGAAAGCGAAGGCGTCCCTCAGTAGATAACATATCTAACTTGCCCAAAATATCGCAGGCTATGCATATCGCTTTAACCATCTGGACTCCTGGGAATGAAAGGTGGCGCTTGATTGGGTTACCAACGCCCGCGTGGGTGACAAGTTTACATCTGTTTCATTAGTTCTAAAGAACTTGTGGCCATTTTCTCAATGGAATTGTTTTAGTACAGTGATTAGAAGGTGTAACTTTCAAGGTGTAACTAACAGAACGACCTTATTTACTTGAAACAAAAACAGAAGCATTCTAGTACTTTTCGTCAAAAGGCATCTGTGCGAAAACGTCCTACAAAACTACGAAAAAGCCGCGTAATTAATCAGTTTTAATTAACCACCCAACCAAGTCTGAGGCAGAAATTCCTCTGAGAAAACATAATGTACTGTTTAATGATTTTTTGTCATCTAGTGAAACGGGAAGTTTTAGGTCACGCTCCATGGGTCGAAATTTTTGTCAATAACTTTCCTTGAAATACTAGTTGGTTGCCTTATTCGATTGTATTTATCAGTCTCACTTGCAAGTACTGCTGTTGCTGCTGGTTTTATTATTGTCCTTGTTGTTAGTATCATTATCATTTTACAAGAGATTGACGCAAACAACACTGCGTTACAAATACTTCATTCTCGACCCAGAGCTCTTTACACCTGGCCGCGATAGCCTTGGGATGAAACATGACTACGACAACAACCTCGGGAAACGTCTCGAGAGAGTGCCAGATATACCTTTTTATCCGGCAGGTTTATGAAATTTTTTTTCATCCAGAAGGCCCCTGTCCAGGATTTCGGAGTTTATAGGCAACAATACCCGACGATTTTGAAGCCTCCCGTCAAGCTATGTTTTCTTGGGAATTCGTCAGTGCACGATCTGTCAGCATGCTTAAGTCTTGAAACTGTGGAAAACTTTTCCTAGAAAAAAACAAAAACAAAAACAAAGAAAAGTGGGGAAATAAAAGGACCTCTCACTAGCAACGGGGAAGTATTCTGCAAGGTATGTATATCAAAGTAGATTATTAACGAGAGGCGCTTATCCGGCGTGACAGCACGACAGCGTGATGACAGCATGACAGCATGACAGCATGACAGCGTGACAGCATGGCAGCACAAACAAGCAAACTAACACAGGCCAGTTGCTGTAAATTTTTTCCTTTCACAGTGGCTTTAACAAGAAGCAAACGAGATATGAGGATGTCAAACTTGGCAGGTTTTTTATTCGCTTATATTCTTAACCGAGGTTATTATTATTATTATTATTATTATTATTGATTTGTTGTTTTTCTTTTGTTTTGAATCGTTGTTTTGCCTTTAATTTTTTTGTTTTTGATGATAATCAAGAGGATGTAAACTGTTGATATTCTCTTGTGATAATGTTAGGTTTTTGCTTTCCCTCCCCCCCCCCATCACATTCACAGAGGTTCGCTGAGATCCGCTTTGCATGATTAACTCGCAAACGAGGCCAACACGTCCGGTCACCTTCCTAAATTTTAGATGTAAATACAACTCCAAGAATAGAACATGTCTAAAACATACGACAGTTTGACATTTTTTAGTAAAAAAGATTGAATTGTTTTGTATGTTGATGGACACAAAATAAATCAATACCGCAAATGCGATTTTTTAACAAACTGCTTTTATTTTACCTTCGAAAAGTCGGATAAATTCTCTTCTTTTTCTAACAAATCCTCTCAAGATGTGATCGATATATCGGTGATATGGCTCGAAATGCAAAAGACCACTATATAATTTATTCGTTTTAATCAGATATTGTAGGATACAGTTCACTGTCGTTAAAGTAAGTAAACAAGAAAAATTTTAACCTTAAGTGGGCGTGAAAATACGACTATTCAAGTTATTATGCGTTAGAAAAAAGAAATGACAGGAGCCATGCTAGACGGAGTGGTTGATACGGATCATAGAAAGACTTCTTTAAAAGCGAATATCAAAAAAAAAAAAAAAAAAACAACTGTCCTTTTTCCTCCTTAAAAAACCAAATGTTACGCTTCCTTTTTTTGTTTGCCAAACACACGAGTCTTCTTTGTTATCACGACATGGAATATCGAGGGAGGTTCGACTATTACAAAGAAGCTTTGATTTTCATAGTTTTGATAGTTCATGACTTTACAAACTGTCTCGTCTGAGAAGCGAAACCACCAAAAGTCTGAGAAGTTTAAGTTATCAGATCAAACTTAAAACCCAAATCTTCAATACCTTTTCCGTATATTAACTAACTAAAAGGCGTTAATGGTTGATAGGTTTTGCCGCGCTCTGATTGGCTGCTAAAGCTGGATATACTTGTATCCTGCACAGGATTCGAAATATCTTCTGATCATTCTGTTTTCAGAGAGAGTTATTACCTATGTGGTTGTTACTGACTAAGAAATGTTATTATCCAAGCTCCCAAATCCAAGATATCTCCCATTATTTTACTTTCAACTTTCTCTCTGGTTATCAGAGAACGTTTGCAGCTACAATTTACAAGAATCAAAGTGACAAACTCGATCTATCTCACAATAAAAAATTGTTAATTTCAAGCAGAGATTAACAAGTTTCCTGTTGAAGACAACTTCTGTGAATCTAATCAATAATCACATCACAAGTAATCAAAGTTAAGTTGTATTCAGGAAATCCATGAAAGCTGTGCTGATAGCAAAATCTGTTCCTTTGTTGGCTACAATTTCAATGTAATTTGGCACATATGTCTCACCTCGCATCGTGGTGAAACGAGCTTCAAGAGAGGTCCAATATAGAATATCGCACTCTTGAAATAAAAGAGTGTGGAACATTATATACATAATTTGGCATCATTGTAATCAAAGAAGATAAAAGCTTTTTGTTTTACGGAACGTCAAATCTAGAAGCGTCGGTTGATGGCAACGAAATATAAAACCGATCAAGCAATATCTGACTTTTCGGCAGCAATTGACCGTTAAATCGATCAAAACAAACATGTAGAGCCAAACGGATGTGCGTTCACCAAGAATGACCAAACTCGAATTTCTCCATACTTACTGTCAATACTACATTGAGAACTGATAACTATGGTCCGGAAAGATATTTTTCCTTTTTGTCAAAACGACATTGGGTAGTTACGAACCAGCGCTGGTCCGAAACTTTTTTTTCGAAAACGTTTTCATGCCATGAACTCCCATGGTGACAAAATCACTAATAGCAATTTGAACTTTCTTGAAAACACAAAGCCAGAATACTTAAGGTGAACATTCGTGCAACCCTGTTCTGTTTACTAAGATTGCCGCGCCATTTATTCCTGTTCAAAGTTAAAGCGTGTAGTTTAAAAAGTTTGTTTGTATCATTGCTCGAGGCACCTCGAGTTTAGTGCTTTTGTTAAAGGCCTTCTAAGCATAAGAATGACACTTAAGCTGCCTTTGACGCTTTTAGATCTTTTGTCGTATCTATCGTTATCCATTCACTCCGCCGATTAATTTAGCCGAAGCGATGTTGGCTTTTGGTTAGTTCTCGATGGGAGGAGCTAGCAAAGTGCTCTGCATCCTGTTATGTCATTGAAATCTCTCATTCATAGTCCACTAAGGCCTATAAAAATTCAAACGGCCGCGTATCGCAGACAATAGTGGGATTCAAGTCTAAAATTGCGTTTAATTCTTTGCCGCAAGTGTCGAGCTTCCCTGAGCAGTTTCGATCGTCGTTCGTTTTTGCAATAATTATTTTTCACCACACACTGTATACCATGATTTGAGTGAGACATCTTTGAGTCAAATTAAGAGCAACTTGTATATTAAAAAAGGACTCACATTAAAACACTACGTGATGAGCCGTTAGGTACCTAATAGGGCTAGGAAACACTGAGACGAAGCTTCTAATTGCCTTGACATTGTTCTGCTAACCCTCTTAATGGAATCTTAATCGTATATTCACTGAAGGTATTACCTCGTGAAAGAGTACTGTAAACATAACCTCAAAGGCTGTGTGCTGTAAAAAATCTAAAAAAAAGAAAAGCCCGTAGAGTTAAATTAATGTGTTTTTCTTTCTTATCGTAGCGACGATACGTCTTGTTATGACACAAAGTTCGATCCACCTCATGCTCGTAGCAAATTCATGGTTTTGCCTCGGGGGTGCTCAGAAGCTCTAAACAATAGTCCATGAGACAAAAGCGCGAACAAAAAGATCGCAATAAAGCCTGCGGAGTGTTAATTGCTTTCCATTTTAAGCTTGAATGTTGACGAAATTTGACTGTGTATGTTAAATAATTTGAATACAACCCTTTGTTGTCCAATTTAGTGCGACTATAAACAAACTGAACCTTACTTCAGCCTCGAAATTCTCTTCTCCCTTGGACTCGCTTTCTTTCTCCGATTGCGTGAGTAAAGCAGCTGAACGGGCTACCAAGTTTCACCACTTTACAAATCACCATCTTTTAAAATATTAATATCTTGAAAGGTTTTCAACAATGCTTGTCAAAACAAGCCCTCGAGGCAAGTCGTCACTTTTCTACGGCTTAGACTCAACTGAAATTTATGTATCGCGATAGCTTATTGTAAAATAAATGATATATAGCTGACAGCTTTCTTGCGACATGGAACCTTGTAATGGGTCGCTCGAAGTTTTCAGGATTAAGGCTACCCTTGCTTTAAATTGCCATTAATTGAAGAGTTTAGTCAATTGTACTGAAGAGATGAAGCGAACAATTGTTTCCTTAACTAAGAAGTGACACGTTTTTGATGGCAAGATGTTGAGCAGCTATCGAGCGACAACTGAGAAAAAGAAAGCACTTCAGGTTAAGTGTTTGCTCCCGAAAGTACATCGGCCAACAAATTGTGAAAAAATTGGCCATGAACTTTTCGCTCCGTTGTTTTGAACAAGACCGAACGATCGACTTATCGTGTGTTTAGTTATATTTTTGGGAGGAGCGCCAAGCAATCTAAAGGGGATAGCATTTTAAACGCGAGTTGATAAAACCAATGTTGTTATCTTTTATGTTTTCTAGAATGTTTGGCGCCTTGACTCTTTTGGTAATGACGGCTGATTTGCAATGAAATTACTCGAAATGATAAAAATGTGTCGAGCGAGCTATTAATCACAATGCACTGTCATTTGCATGTGTCACTGCATCGAATAGACGAAATAATAACTTGAAATTTCACCAAGTCCAAATCACTCCTATCAAAATAAAGATTTATCAACTGACTGAAGATGAGCGATTTATTGAAAGAAATGAGAGCAAAGTGAAAAACACTTCTAAGTTCAATTTAATTCCTTGAGATGAAGACACAACTTCAATAATTTCCGTAGGGCGCTCAAGATTCCTCTCTCTGTTTATATCATCTATTCCTAAAAGTACTCGACAATTGTCGTATATATTTTCGGTTTTTAATCTAAGAAATTTGACGAAGTTCAGGCCCTATCAGAAACGGGGAAACCGCCGTTACGATCAAACCCTTCTGTTAAAGTGGGTAACTGAGAGAAGAAATTTCCTGTGAATGGGCATATTCATTCCTATTCACAATTAATTGCTGTAAAAGCCCACAAAGCAGTCATAAACCGACCGTAAAACCAACGGTTTGCTACAGCTTGTCGAAGCCACTAAAAACCTATTAAGTGATGTATTTGTTGATAGTCCCCTCTGCCCCTCCTTCGGTAAATATAATTCTCGATAGTTCAAATTGACTAAGCTTTGGAGGAAAATATTTATTTATTTACTTGTTCTCACACAAATCGCGCTCCGGGCAAAACGTTTAATGCTACTCTCGCCGTTTCGATAAAAAAAAAAATGCCGCACACAGAAATGACTCCACAAAGACAATTTACAGCCTCTTTTTGAGAGGAATTGTCTTTAAAAGCTTCACCGATTCAACTCTATTAAGTTGCGGATTTGGGAGGCAAGAGAGATGAATACCACATCAATTTGCAAATTACGAAACATGTTCTATTCAAGTCCTCGGAAACTCTATTTATTTGTCTAGATCAGACAAAGGTGTCTTTGCGCTTGAAATCAATTTCCTTTCTTCTGTGCGTTTGTCAGGCAAAAACGTCACGAAATCTTTTAAATGACTGGAAAATTTACGAAGTCCTACCGTGCTTACTAAATGCTCGCTGATTGCACCTTGATAGCTTTTTAAACAAAAGCGACGACGAGGTTGAAGCAATTCGCTGAGCCTTCTAGAGATTATCCTCTTTTTAAGTAAATAGATTTCTGATATTACCTTATGGGGCTATAAATATAAGAGATAGTTACTCTAATACTCGGTCTTAATGGGTCTTGAGATTATTTTTCTTTGTTTACCTTCCCATTTATCTGTGAAAAGGAAGGAATTAAAAAATAATATTGGATCTTCTCAGCTTTCTTGGATCGAATTTTTATTACTCAGATACTGTTAAAGGAATTGTCATTTATTTTTCCGCTATTGAGACCCATTCAAGTTCTTCTTTTCAACGAAAAAAGAAAAGAGTGAAGAGTAAGCATCGCGAAGGCTTTTACAAACGTAAGTTAGAATTTTTTTCGAGAGGGTGTTGAAAACATTTTTTTTTTTCGACTATGCTAAATAAAGCAGGTAAGCCTATTGATTAGCGTCGGCTTTGAATTGCTGTTTGAGATCTTCAATCTGCAATTCATCAATCATGTCACTTCTTCTGTCAAGAAATAATGACTTAATATCGCTTAGGCGAAACAAGTTGGGCCAGAATGCAATCACCCAATTGCTTTTTACCTCATTAGCATCTCATGAAATTTTCCAGCTGTGGTCACTTAGGCCAATCAACAAGTCATCAAAAACGTTTGAGTGGAAACAACCTCAAATGGCAGAAGACCATTAGCAGTGCCTCGTAGGACTCCTTTCTCGACACCCCTTATCACCTACTTCTTGCGTGGCACTCTCTTATCGCCTGAAACTCTCGTTAAAAGCTCCCTGCTGCTCTTAATTATTTCATGCCTTATCGTTCACATCTTTTTACGACAGAACGTGTTATGTAAATTCAAACTGCTAACTCGCACGTTAGCGCGATATTAGGGGACTGCGAGTCTTCGCGTGGTCTCTTGAAGTCATGGAGTCAGTTCGTGAGATTTCCTTTGACGATGGTTTGATTTTTGAATCTCGGAGTATGAAGTGTGATACATCGTTGGTGGGGCGTGATGAATGTTTGTTTTAAGTAGGCGTGAGGCCAATCAAATCCTTAACCGCACGGCTAAACGTTCCGTTTATGACATGGAGCAACAAATGGTCCACTTTAACTAAGAATGCCTTTAACAGAAAAGCCTTTCATGATTGTAGTTCGACACCAAGGAGGTAATTGTCGAATTGTTATCCCCTAGCCAATTGAAAAAGACAAAACATGAACACTTTTAGAATGACAACGTGTCTCGGACTAATTGATAGCGGCCAAAAGCCAATCACAAACAACTCTTATCAGTTTTCCTGGGCTTTTGTATACGAGGGGGAGGAGATGATTATTCGAGCTTTCTCGTGGTTCCATTAGTCGTCACCCTGGACCAATCACGGACGCGCATTTACATGTCAGACGTTTAACAAGTTTGACATTTTTATTCTTGATCATTATCACTGACTTAAATTGTCGCCTCGCATGCCCCAATGCATTCAAGCGAACACAAACGATCTTTGTTTGCCATTTCTTAAGCTTAGGAAATTTATACTACTTTAGTGTTGAATTATTTTCGTTGCGACACATTCAGGCGGAACTGTGTTTAGATATGGAGGAGAAGACTCGATCGAACCCGTTTTCGATTTCCAATATTTTGAACAACGGCAGCTCTAGAGAGAGTCACGGGAGAAAAGAGTTGGAGATAGCGACTGAGACGGGAGGAACACATGACAGACAGCGCGCTGAACTTACAAATAAAGAAGGTTGTGAAACTCGCCGGCCTGATGCAAGCCCTTCGCACCTAAATAGAAGACTGGAGTACGACTTTGATGACTGGAGCAGGGCGTCCGTTGAAGGTTAGTAACTCACAACATGTGCGCTTCCGGTAAATGGGTTGTAAGCGAAGTAACAGCACTAGTAAACGAGCCCTATTTGGGATCGAACGAGGGTCATCTAAAACCCCGATCTGCTGCGGAAATTCATGTGACAATTCTCTTACAGATTCATTGGATAAAGACGACCGATCCTCAGAAGGTGACAAGAAAGATATCAATAAGAAACGAAGGAAGAAGAAGACAAGAACGGTGTTCTCTCGAAGTCAAGTATATCAACTGGAGTCGACATTTGATATAAAAAGGTATCTTTCCTCTTCGGAACGAGCTGGTCTGGCCTCACAACTTCACCTAACGGAAACGCAAGTTAAAATATGGTTCCAGAACCGGCGGAACAAATGGAAGAGACAACTCGCTGCCGAAATGGAAGCAGCTAGTTTAGCTCAAGCGAGCCACCAAAGAATGGTACGTGTTCCTATTCTGTACAGGGAGCAAAGTCGTCCCAGTGAACTATCAACACACGCTCCGTACTCGTTTTACCATCCTTCATATCCGGGTTTAGCTCAGTATTCACAGCACTATTCACAATTTCTTCCTCCTCATCTAAGACCATCGCCGATGTCCTCTTTGCTATAACAGGTCTGTTACCGGAAAGAAAGAACAATGACATAGACATGGAATGACTACTTTCTCTCCACATCGAAACAAACCGCAGACTAAAGTGGAAAAAGTCTGACCTTCCACAAGGACACTTAAGATTTTTCATTTCAAAATCTAGGCAATGCTATTTATCTCATAAAAATCATTTGTTTGATACCCGGTCTTAATATCGTAACCCTAGAACATCTCACGGGAATACCTTTGCTAAGAGCGGAGAGCGCTTCGGCCGGATATAGTTGTCGTCACTTAGTAAGGAAATTACATCAAAAACTTGTATTCCCTCATTTAATCTGGTTTTTGTTAAGCGTTTCGAAACTAAAAGGCTTGAACTGAAGGGTCTTAGTTGCAAAGCACCATGGAGTGTTTACAGTTGTTATTTACACCTATTTATACAACACTAAAGGCGATTAGGGCTAAGAGATGAACCACTTTAGTTGTTGCACGGAATATTTAACGCAGAGTGGGGATCGAGAAGCATGTAATTTGCTTTCGATCCGCAGCAAATCATGTAAATTTTGTATATCGAATATCATTTGTGCAAATTTGTTCGAATTCGAAGAATTCCAAAAACTAGTGTAATTGCGGTGACATAGAACAAGAGAGGTAGGGAACCATTAACGACCCAAAGATCCTTTCGCTGAGAAGCATTTGTAGTTGATTATTTCAAACTCTCAAGAACAAAAAAGGTTAATGAATTTAGAGTTTGTGGGTCCAGATTGTAAAATACGTGCTAAATTGTAGTCAAATATTTACAATAAAAGAAAGAGTTTGTAAATTGCACACGAAGAGAGGGTGCTCATTGCCTTTGAAACGCTGCCAACTTTAAACTACTTCAAAACTTTGTTTTCTCTTAAAATATATCAGTTACAAACAAACTTATCAAGTTCTAAGAGGGCCTGACAGAACGATTGGAAAAGGAAATGTGTACCTTTGGCTGCTCATTTAAGAAAACGATCCGACAAGCGACGTTGCGATGCCTGAAAGTGTTAATGAATTACTTCACTCCTAGTAAAACTTAATCATTCCTTTTACTTAACTTTCGAAAGGTGCGAAAATGGCGTTGAGCTACTATTCACAAAGGAGTTACAGATTTACCATAACAAGGAACGGAGCAGTAATTCGTAATCGTTATCAGAAATTGTGAACAGACCGGAGAGCTCTCGCCCATTAATGTTTTTATCTGAAGATAAAAGAAAAAGCCTTTATCAGACTCCCTAAAGAGTGAGCGAAGTGTGAACGACTATACATCTTAGCATAACAGCACAGTTATAATTTCCTCGATTAAAGTAAATAATACGGAGCATTCAAATTTCCACCAGCTAACGGAGAATTTTAAAACTTAAGTAAATTTTGTGAGAAAAACCTCCGTTTGGTCGTCCAGGAAATTGCGACCGACGACCTTATTTCTCGTCACATCCTCGCTAAATTAGCATCACTGAATTTACCATTTAAAAGCGATTTACTTTTTCTAACCGCATGGCATTTTAAACAGGTGAACTTGATGTTAGAAAGTCACTAGTCCCCTTTGGGTTTCGTCACGGGAGAAAAACAAACTTCGGGGCAGGTTCGATGACTTATAGAATTAGAGGGAGATATTATTAAAACTGTAAATAATACTGAATCTTATTGACTAAATTGAAAGCGAATGTCCTTCATAGGAAGGTCGACAACAAAATCGAGAAAAACAAGGAAATTCGCCTATCAAGCAATCAACAAAGACAATTAAATATTCATGGTAAAAGTGATGTTTAAGACACATTTTTAATGGTGTCATTATCCGCTCGGGATAGGGCGAAGCCCACAATCTCACCTCGGAAGAGTTGGAGATTCACCCCTGTGGGGATCATACGCATGCAGAAGTTATAAAAACGAGGTGATGGTCTCGAAGTAAATTTTTACAACATATTTGCCCGTGCTGAAATAATTCATGTTTCACGCGAGCTTAATATTGGACTGTTTGCACTTAGCGGAGGCCATGAATAAATAAAAGCCGCAATTTGGCATTGAACTATCTGCTTATCATTGGTAAAACAGGAAATTTTAGGTTAATGGAAAACATTTGCCTGCGCGCTAGGCGATATTTTAAGACGAATGGAGTACACTTTTGAGTGGAAAAGATAAGTTTGTGTGATAAACCGGTAACCCGCTGCCGGAGTTAAGCAGCGAATTGCTTTTAGTGTTGATAAAACCCAAATTGAATAAGGATGCTTCTTTTCCACGTGTCACAACAGCTACCAAACGTCCCAAAAGCCTGCTTTTGTAAACCAACAGCAAACCGAGGTAAACGGGCATATAGAGAGTCATTAAGGCACAAAAGAACAACCAACAATAGAAATGGCGCTAGGAATTAAAAGCTTTATTAAAACTTGTTGACTTTAAGTTCCTCTGCAAATGGTTGGCGAGGACATACAGCGATTTACTGCCAGACAAGACTAGAGTTACAATTTTTCCTAGAAAATTTCAGCTTGTTTGACTAAGTACTTAGCTTGCCGCTGATACCCAAATTGTTTATAATTATCAAATTTAAGAAGTTTTAAGAACGTTCCATGATTATTAAACAAAAAAAAAAACTTATTCAATCCGGCAGCTGTTAAGTATTGATAATTCAACCTCTCTTTTTGCAAAACTAATTTTATTGACGAGTAAATCGTGAAAAGCTGCCAACTCTTCTAAACACATAATGGCTAATTTATCTATGTCATTTGTTTAATTTTGTTGAAATTTTAAGTCAGGATTTTTAGAGGAGGAAGTTAAAAAAAAGGGCGGGAAAAAGCATGAAAAACGTCTGACCTTGAAAATTTGACAACTTTTATCGCAAGTTTAATGGTCACAATATCGTACCTCAGTGAGTGTGTATTGTGGCCTAGACTATTGTTTTCCCTCTCGTTTTCTTAATTTAATACGTTATCTTAGCAATTTCAATATTGTTTATACGTAAGGCATCACGAAATCTATTAAGCCTGTTTTCTGAGCAAGCCCTATTACTTAGCGTGAGGGGATTGGTGATAGTTTCCTTTTATAGCGCGGTGCTTTTTGTATAGCCTAAATTTCCAAAAAAGCAGAAAGTAATTACTTTCATTGAATTCAAATTATCCCTTTTCAATTTTCTGTGGTCGTTTGCCAGCAGGGAGTATACTGATAATCTTGATAAGGATGACATTCACGCGAAGTGGTGCGATTAATCAATTTAGAAGTACGATTACCTAGCAACAACCACTGACTGAATCAGCCTTTCATAGATGTGAGCATCCAAACAAGTACATCTTATGTAGGATTTACCCTCTTACTTATGCTGGAATTATTTTTTTCATATAAATCATATGATTCAAAATACGAAAAGTGCATCATGCTGACCGAGGAGAGTTTCCGCCTATGATATTATAAAAGGAAGGCGTATTTGTTAAATTGACAATAACAGCCACCTAAAATTCGTGTGTTCCAAGGCCCCATTAGATATTCCACCCCACGCTTTTAGCTATTGAGTGGGAAAACGTGACATAATTTTCGTTAGAAAAAAAAAAAAAGGTGTGTTTTATAAGCATCATAGAGCTGCCGCTAATGAATCGGAAATATGATTCGTAATACTTCTCTCTGGTCAGAATCGGTCGATACTGAGGCAAAAACACCTTGAAGCCGGCGAGAGGATGCGGCTGATCGAGATAAACTGATTCGTACTTTCCTAATTCATTGTTTTGAAAACAAAACACTGCTAATATAGGCAGCCCCTTTTCCGTTCGTGGTGCGCTTTTAAAAGCGTATCTCGGTCATTTGTCGGATGCTTGGGTTGGGAATTGCTCGGAATAATTACACCAAGCATTTAACGCAATTCCTGATAAACAAAATGCCTTCCAGCTGAGCTGCGATTAGACGCAATCGAAGGCCGTTTTTCTTTTAGAATTGTCTTTCTGCTTGGGAGAGTGTTATCAGAGGAGATCAACAGAACACAAAACAGCAAGGAGTATGGGTCATATTTTTTAAAGGATCAATATTTAAATGGAAATGATAGAAGCACCAAACGAGATTCTTCAAAAGAGATCATGATGATTACTGGTAGAAAGCAAATGACAATATTGTAATTTGTTGCTTTTCTGTTAATCGCTCGAACTAGAATTCAAATTGGCTGCTTTTAACTTAAGCAGGAAACTGATATTTGACCAAAAGAGTTTGAAAGCATTGAACGCTGAAAATATGAATTTGAAAATAAGTTCAAATGTAATGCTTCTTCATAGAAATCTTGCGGGTATGTTCAAGTTACTAAGTTCTTTTTTCCTGCCGTCTTTGAACAAGTAGGAATTTGAGTTCCTTTCAGCATTTTTCAGAGGATAATCAGCCAATTGAAAGGCTTGATCACGTTATATTTTAGAATTTTTTAAGCTCTAATAGTCCCTCCTTAATCGATTGCTAAATTAGTTGCGGGAATTCGCTTGATAGTAAACGACGTTTGCAGTAATCTCAGTGAAAAGTAAAAAAAAGATCCCTCTTAAGTTCCAATGAATATTTTTTCTCGAAGTTTCGCCGGACATAGATCAGTATTGAAGTCTTGATATTATATTTATCACATTATTCCTGTAGCCGAGGTAATTGTCCGTGAAATGAGAATCGAAGTCTTTGTTTCACTTCAATTAAGACTTTATGGCGACAGAGTGCGGTCGAAAAAAAAAATAGCTGTGAGTTTGACGCAGTAAATTGGCGAGAGTGGGCAATTGACTTTGTGATTTTGTCAAATACACCATTCTAAGCATTTTTCTTTTTTTTACACCTTTCAACATTGACAAAACGTTGGATCCTTGTCCAAACTGTTCAGATCAGACGCATTAGCCGCAGACGCTGTTCAAAGTAACAAAGAAAAGTTAATGAAGGATGGTAAAATAGGAGTCAGGGGTATGGAATTGCGAGCCATTTAATCTCGGAAGAAAAATGATGACTCATGTAATCACCTGAAGTGTCGCAACATCAATTTTCATTGAAAAAAAAAAAAAAACTGAGCAAATCTAACCCAATGTGGTTTCTGAAAAGATCTGTAGGAGGTTATTGGCATGCATAGAAGATTTTGAAGCTCACAATTAAGTCCAAAAAACGATGGGTTAAAAAAATCCAATGACTCTGGTAATTCAATAAAAGATTATTTTTAAAGTACTGCCATTTCCACGCAAATCATCCCATCACATGTTTGTCATTCGGTTTGAGCTACATGCGCTTTATGGATTTGTGCCACTTATGCTGTCACTTAGAAAAATTTTAAGAGTTGCTTGTTAAAAAGATTTCTATAATGACTTATGAAGTTTAATATTGAACAAATTAGTCTAAAATTGTCAATAATATCGTCATAGTAAGCTATGTTATATTTATACGGGATAAGAAATCCGAAATTTTAATTATTTTGTGAA